CTTTCTCTTTCCTCTTTTTTTTTTTTTGGTCCTCGTTCAAGCACAGATGATTAATTGAATTTTTGCATTATTCAGTTGTTCCTTTGTAATACTAATTGAAACCTTAAAATTCTATTCACGTGGTCTTGTCTTTAGGTAATTGTCTAAAAATTTTAACAGTAGGTGTTTTAAGTTATTATGGAAATACTTTGTATTTCAACAAGTAGAAATGCAAGTCTTTGATGTAGTTGAAGGGGAAGCTTAGAAAAAACGAAAAATTGGTTATCTATCTTTCTTCCATATGCAGATGCATGAGTTTATGGACCAAATTTTGAACTACAGGTCAAAGAGATGGTGGTTGCAATTCTCAAAGAATCTGACATGGAACTTTCAGATGAGCTCCTCGAGCAAATAGTTGATAATGTATGATGTCTGAGTTGACAATGTTTCTCATAATATAGTTTTGTTAACAAATGGAGCAGATGTTTATGTGTGTTTCATCTTTTGGGTAGACATTTGCTGATGCTGATGCAGATAAGGATGGGAGAATTAATAAAGAGGAATGGAAGGCTTTCGTCTTTCGTCGCCCTTCACTTTTGAGGAACATGACTTTACCATATCTCAAGTATGCCAATTGTTCTTCTTCCTCATGTCCTTCCCTTACCTCCCTTTGATTGCCTATGGAGATAAATGATTTGATTGTATTCTCACTCTATCTGAAAACACGCTGACAAAGAGAAAGGTGTGTTGTTATTATGAGTCTAGTTCGTTCAGGTGTCATATTTTCAATGAAAGCATTCTCAATTTAATGTTCTATCAGGGACATAACTACTGCTTTCCCCAGCTTTGTTTTCAACACTGAGGTTGACGATTGAGACACATAATCAGTTGTTCCGGATTTTTCACTAGAACTTTTGGTGAAGAGAGATTCATGCTTGTAGCTTGCTTATCCAGATGCTTCTGATTATCCTCTCCGTCATTGCCTGGTGATGGGTAGTGTTTCTTTGGCTTGAGGAGAATTGGAAAGGAAACATTTTTGGACTCGGACAGGACTATCTCCAGCTCTCACTATGCATGCATCTTGTCATATTTGATCAAGGATCTATTTTACCGGTGAGGAATTTGGACTGGGCATATTTCACCATGTATTCTTTCTAAAGGTTTATGTTGGAAGAGGATATGCATTCAACCAGATTTGGTTGGATTTGGATGGTTAAAGTGAGTTATTTTGAACAAAGTTGATTGAATGAAATTTTGAGTTTGTTAAGTAAATAATATTTAAAATGTAATAATTGAAGTTGATGTGATGTAAAAGTAGCAGAAATGTGTTGTACCAAAAAAAAAGTAGTAGAAATGTTATTGGAAATGATAGGTAGTTAAAATTTTGTGAGTTGATAAATATTGAATTAAAATTGTTGTGATATGTGATGATGATTGATTAGTATTATTTAGTTTTATTGATAATTTTTAAGAGAGTTGGGCTGAGTTGAACTTTATTTTAAAAAATAAAAAACAAAATAACCCAATCGATCAGAATTGATTAAACCGGTTTTGTCTCATATCTAAATGCGGCCTAATTTATTTGAGCCGTCGTCGTTCGTGTGAGTGTGTTCGTTTTCGAGCCCTCATTATCATGTTGTTTTGAACGTTCATTTTCCGAACCAAAACCCGTTTTTTCTAAATTTTTGAAAGCTCTGAAATATTGTATTTTTTAAAACTTATTCACTGCTCGAACCACGGTTGTCGTTGGACATTTTATCGTCTGAGTTTAGTCGAATTCTGTATGGCCCTGTTCGTATTTCTCGAAGTCTTGGTCCGCCATTTTTTAGAGCCTCTGTTCGGCCTTAGTGAAGAAAGTTGCCCAGTGGTCGTAGGCCTCCTCAACAGCTCAGTCCAGTTGATGTTCAGCCCGCGCCAAAGCCCAGTGCTCCAAATTTTAGTTTTCCGGCCAATTTGCGAGGCCCAGTTCTCGCCTGCAACACCAGCAGCGCGCGGGCCTTACAAGCCTGCCAGCTGCTCGCGTCCAGCCCGATCCCTCTCCAGATGAAGCCCGTGCGAAGGCCCATATCTCCACCCAGCTGAAGCCCATGTTCGGCCCTCCAATAGCCCACGGATCTACAGCCTTGTAAGCCCTGTGAGCGGCCCAATTAGCGCGTGTTAGGCCCAAATGCTTTGGCATTTTGGCCCAGTTTTAGAATAGCAATCCAGTTCAGCTTTTTGAGCACTTTTTGTGTTCTGGAAGCCCGTTTTTAGTACCGATTTCAAAGTTAAAAATATTTTTAAAATGAGAAAAACTTGGGAAAATTATTTAAAGTCCCGAGACTCCATGTTTGTTCTCTGAATCCTGTTTTTTCAAAAATGAGAGAGTTCCAAGTTCACGAAAAATCCGATTAAAACCCTTAAGCCTTAATTTTGATTAAGTGTGAGTTTTATATTAAATTCGAGTATGTGAGACAGATTGTTGATATATTATCTCGCTTAATTGTAGGTGTTTGAGGAGTTGAGCCCTCGACCTACTTACCTGCTATTTCAGTGTGATATTCTACCTCAATTTCCAGGTTCGTTTTATTTTATAAAATTACTATGCCGTAAATATTGTTTAAGTTCTGCTGTAAGGTATGATTAAGGTATGCATATGAACTATGTAGCCTTCGATGTGAGCCGTACCGGTCGTTGAACGGTTATCCCCGTAGCTATAGAACGTACCCGATGGGTATTCTCCTTTATTTATGTATTATGGGAGTCGTAAGACCCAGGGCATGGGCCCTCGGCTGGTGATCCTCGTTTGTAAGACAAAGGCGTAGGTCTTGGCCGGTGGGGTAGATTACTCCTACTGGCTGGGCATCGTTGTAAGACCAAGGAATAGGTCTTGTCGTTCGAATCGTGTATCCAGTAGTCTATGCGTAGGTGTGCACATGTGAATTGACTCTGGGATAAGAGATGGGATAGAATAATGATTCGTATGCATACTGCGACCATACCTAATTTGTTTACTGCATAGTGGTCAGCACCACGGTTTCCAATTGTGCTCACCCCCACCTGCTCTTCATGGATGCAGGTTAGTAAGTGCGGGCACGGCGGAGGGATGCGAGTGGTGGTCGGTCATTGATGACCAATTTATTATTTGATATTGCTTCCGCTTAGTGAACTGATTAATGTTATTATTGCATTTA